TAAATCCAACTTAGGAACGTCCTCAGGAACGGAACCCGTTTATAACCCAGGGATCCCCTGTACAGTACAGTACAGTAAGGTACAGTACAGTACAGTATTGATAAAACTGTGAAAAGAATTATTTCATCAAATGTATAGTATAAAGTCGGTGTTGAAACTATCAAACTGGGAAAGGTAAGACAGATCATTTATATAAAGGTTGATTGTTCGTATCAGCTGAAGTTACTCAAGTTGACAAGCATAAAATAATGATGAAATTTATATTACATAAGAGTTTTCATGCAAACATTCTGAGCATTACTTTATGTTCTCTTCAATACAAAACAAAGATTTACTTGGAGAATCATCCATACAGTGAACCCTCAAAGAACCGGACTAAAAGGGGGGACCACCTGTCCAAAAAAGCCGATTGTCTGAATCTTCCGGCAAATGTGCTAAATGTACAAAAGCAATAAATAATGATATAAAAAACACCATAAATACAGTACATAATATCCTGACCACTGGGGTTAGTTGTAAAGATTTTTCCAGTGAAAAAGGCCTAATTTTGAGCAACTTGTTACTGTACAGTAGTCCCACGGTTAATGAATGGTTCGATTAATGAAATTTCGGTTAACGAATTAGTTCCCATAAGGATTTTCAGTTCGATTAACGAACAAAACTTCGATTAACGAAATCCTTACGACAAACACGTTTTATTGTGCGCATCAGCTGATCGGCTAGTCCGCCAATACAGTACAATAATTGGTTCTATGTTTACATTCGTGTTCTAGTGGAGTAAATATCACGAAAGTTGGTCTCTTGAATATTTTTGCATTTTTATATTAAAATTTAATTATTGGTCATTCTAATTTAGTTAACATATTGATAATATATACAGTACAGGGAACAGTTTTTGTGCGCCCATCAGCTGATTGAATCACCCAACAACGCTTCTCAGTTTAACTTTGTTTACAGTGGAGTGAACATCGATTTTGTTGGTCTCTTGCATATTTTTGCATTTTTACATTAAAATTATTGGTCATTCTGAAATTTAGTTAACATAATGAGAATATACAGTGCATAAATTATTATGAAACACGAAGAAGGCAATAGAACCAATGCACTCCGTAAAGAATATGGCATGTCATCATCGACTGCCTCTACAATCAGCTGTTTAATATGTAAACTAAGCTGCCGGGAATACGACATACACACCTCAAAGTAAGTTAAAATACAGTATTCTATTGCTTTTTATTTATTATTGTACAGTATACTATACAGTACAGTACTGTATTTAGTTTATATTTAATGTTTTTTTTAATTCTATTACTGGTATACAGTACTTTGTATGTACTTTTTCTGTGAGTTGGAACCAATTACCCAATATCCCATTAAATATTAGATTTGGTTAACAAACGACTCTGTGGAACGAATTGTGTTCGTTAACCGAGGGACCACTGTACTCACTTTGTACTCAAATGTACTACACTAATGGACTAAAAATTTTATCTCTTGAGCAAACAATGTGATGTTTATACTCAAATTATTTGCTATCTTGCAAGGATTCCAGCAATGCAAGTTATATTCTGCTAAGTTTAGTTTGTGACTTTTATAAGATAAAAACTTTGAACCTAAAATTACCTTCACCCTGGCTGGGGGGAAGGAGAGGTGAGGCGTTGACAGCCAGCGAAGAGATAACAAAATGTGTAGTTATCAGTCATATAGAGAGATTTTAAGTTTTTCACTTATAAAATGTCACTGAATTGACTTACCAGAATATAACGTACATTGCTGGACTTCTTGCAAGATAGTGAGTAATTTAAGTACATACATCCCATAGTTTGCACTAGACATAAAATTTTTAGTAATTATTTAGCATATTTGAGTACTGTACAGGTTTGCCCTAGGACAATTATTTCTTTTACCCCTTTTCACAATATGTATTTAGGATGGTGCGTGCATGTCAATGAGTAAAATTAAATGAAAAAAGTTACGTATATCTACCCGAAAATATGAGTTGAAAAACTTGTACTGAAATGTACTACACAAAAGGACTAAAATGTTTATATCTTGTGCAAACCATGTGATGTTTATACTCAAATTATATGATATCTTACAAGGATTCCAGCAATGTAAGTTACATTTTGTTAACTTAAGTCTGTGACATTTTATAAGATAAAAACTTTAAGCCTAAATCCACCTTCACCCTGTTTTGGGAATGCTTCTTAGCCCAGAACCCCCAATTTTTTTGTCAGAATCTTCTGAAATCTGGATTTACAGGGCACGGATCTTTGAGGGTTCACTGTTTAAATATGATTCTGTACATGCCTCATCCTTTTAAAAGTATGAAAATACTTCACTTGGATACTGGCAGAATGTAATGGGTTACAACTTAAGAGATACAGTGTGCAAGTTATTGAATTTGTGGATACTTAAATTTCATGCCTAATATGTTAGCTACACAAATTTTTACATTACCTACAAAACAACACACAAAAGCCTGAAACTCAACACTTACTGCATCTTTCCTTCTGAAGGAGCTGGTCACATCAGATATTTCACTGGGAGTTGGTTCTTCAAACACCTCTGAGGCAAGTTCTACAGAAGATGGAGGTGGCTTGTGTTCCACACGAAACAGAGCATCCATTCCCCCTAGACCACTGTCTGAGCGCTCTGGGTCTATGTTGACCAAGATGAAGTTGTCGCTGTCAGAACTCAGGTCACTACGAACTGAAAGAGTGTCACTCATGTCTTCTGGACTAGTTTTCACTGCAGACTCAAGGGTGGACATAATACTTGTAAAACCACTAGTAAGGCCTTTACGCATGGAAGTTAAGCCTGCATTAAGATTATCCTGGAGATTTAATTGCATCACCGGGCCGTTGTTGAACGAAATTTGATTGTCGGTAAGTTGGCAGCTTCGTAAACTACGCGGCAAGTTGGTCAAGCTACTTGACAGTTGTCTGCTAGCGGCATGTTTTACAGCAGTTGATGGTGATTGTTGCTTACCTGTGTTGACTGGAGAATGTTGACTGACTGGGGGCTGGCTTATGTTGCCATTGGCAGTGTTTGCTGGCTGCCTGGTTATGGAGGTAGACACTGGCACAGGTTGTGGAGAAGTAAGCTGATCAACACTGTAGGACTTAGTGATGTCACTGGTAATGGAGCAGGCATCTGTTTCACTTGCCCTCTGGACTATACTGTGTTCTGAGGCAGAGTTTCTGACTTCACAACTAGGCGATCCTAGATCGTGGAGATCTGCCGTGGACGACGAATCAGGAAGGAAACTCTCCATGTCCCCAGCTGTGAAGTCTTTACTGGGATGTGGTGGTGGCATCACTAATGATACATCCACCTGAGGCACCACGGCAGACACCACTAAAGTGTCCCCCAGGTTCTCCTGAGCTAAGGCTACTCCTGCCATGTTGGGGTGAGTCAGGATGTTGATTGTATCGAAAGTAAGGTAAGATGTGAGTTCTGTAATAACATCTAATTGTCGCATAAGGAACAGGTACTGATAATGATTAAGTTGGGCACTGACTAGACTTGGTGTGTAAGCGAGTATGTGTATGGCTGCTTCTGGCCGGCAACCCTCCCCTCTGTCCCCGGGAACACTGCCAGGGTCCTTTTTAGCTTCCCCACTACAGCTATTGCAACCTTTATTGGAGTCCTCATCATAAAAGTTTCTTAACAGATGCCTATGGGGTCTTGGGTCTTTTTCTTCACACAACCCCACACTTGACTCTTTAGTGGCAACAGATAGACTAGATTTGGGCTTGATGTAGATCCAGAGGGATAAGGGAAAGGCATCTACAAAAGGAACGGGTCTGCTTCTTGCTGCTGGCACCCCAAAGAACTCCACCCAGAGAGGTTCACAGTGCACAAAGAGTATGTCTCTTGCCTGCAGCCAGAGGGCATCATGCTTCATGCTGGAGATGGCTTCATATAATGAGCTCTCTACTATGGGAGGGTCTCTTACATTGTCTTCAGCTGTAATAAAGTAAACATTTGAAAATTTGAAAATTTTGAACACAGTACATAATACCACACCTTGAAGAAAAATTATTACCATGTTTGTAAGGAATAGTAATAAGCATTCAACAGGTCATGGGTGTGGAATATAAAAAAATCAGTCATTTATATTTTAATGAGTCATCATGCAACTATGGATAAGTTGAAGTTAACTACCTCTTATGATTATGTACAAGTTTCATATTTTATATACTGTATATACAATACAATGGAGTCTTGATAATTTGCGGGTTAGGTACCAGAAGACATCGTGGATTATAAAATAACAAATTATAATTTAATCGATTTAAATGAAAATACTACATACTGTAATTAGTTGGATTCCAGAGGCCAAGAAATACCCACTAAACATCATACAAAATACATACAAAAATACAGTAACACATAGATGTTGAACAAAAACTAGTTCTATACAGTAATAAATAAACAGCTCCTTTCTTTCTCATAATTTCATGTGGGTTATTCTTATGCTGATGATTCTACTCTTCACTCTTCTTCAGATTTTCCCCTTCCCCCTAATTCTCGAACTAGATCTGTTTCTAGAGCTGATAACATTTCATCTATCAATGCGGATCTGTGCAGCATCTCCGAATGGGGAGGTAGAAACTTGGTTAAATTCAATAGTAATAAAACTCAGTATTTACCAATTACACTTTTCAAATTAGATGATCTCCCACCAATCACATTTCAGGACGCAATCATTATGTCAAATTCTAAAATAGATATGCTAGGTCTCACTATTTCCTCTATTAATGTCATGGAAGCCACACATCCACAACATTGCTAAAGCAGCCTCCTGAAAGCTGGGAATGTTGTACAGATGACTTAGCTACTTCACTCATTCATCCTAACTTGGAGTACTGCTCTCATATCTGCTCTTCTTCTGTCCAACTGTTAGGTAGGGTAGAATCAAAGGCATTTCGTCTTATTAACTCTCCTCTTTTAGTTGATAATCTTTCTTCCCTTTCTCTTAGCCGCAATGTTGCTTCACTCTCTCTCTTTTACAGGTACTTTAACGGGCAATGTTCGGTGGATTTGACATCCTTTGTACCGGCGGCAAGGCCGTGGGCTTGTAACACTCGTCTTGCCCACGGTGCCCACAGTTTCTCTGTGGCTGTCGGTCACACTAGAATAACCTGTTATAGTACATCCTTCTTTCCTCACACAGCCAAACTGTGGAATGATCTGCCCTCTTCTGTGTTTCCATACTCTTACAATCTGTCTCACGCTAAAAAGCTGGTTTTCCAGCATCTTCGTGGTGTAGATTAATATGGTTTTTCTTTTCTATTTTAATTTTTTTTATCCTTATTCTGCCATGAATTATGAATACTTGACTTCAAAACTTAAAAAATGAGTTTGTGATAGAGGCATCTGCGAATTGAAGAATGTGAATTTGTATTTCATGAATTATCGAGACACCACTGTACATGTATAATTTTTGCTTCTGCTCTCATATCTCTTCACACCACAATGAAGGGTACAGTAGTAAAAACACAGACTTGTCATTCACCCATTCTTACTGCTGTAAGTTACATTCTACTACAGTGGTCCCTTTCAATAATAATTCCTCAGATATCAGTCTGTTTATCCTTGTCACTTCACACAACCTAGTATCAATCAGCACTTGATGCCACGTTCCTCACTCATTCTCCCATGTATGTTTGTCTTGATAAGTATCAAAGAGCGAAACAAAAAGAACTGAAATGGAATATATGTAAATAATGGCACGGAATGAAGAGATGAAGGCCAAGAAAGGATGCAGGAAGGTCAGACTTGTAGGTGACCACACCAGACAAAGGTATCCTTATACAGCTGGCTAAGCCAAGGTAATCCTCAACACATTCAGTTCTATACCTTCCATGCATTATGAATATATATACTGTAGAAATTTCCGTTAGCTAGAATCTCCAGTACCCAGAACTCTCCAAGAGCCAAAAATGATTTTGAGCCTTTCAGAAAATTCCGGGAAAACTCTTTCCATTTTGGGCATGAGAACGAGTTTCCGAGGATGAAATTGCGCACATTTTCCGGAAAATTTAAGCGAAAATCTTCTAAACCTCTCCATTCTGGGCATGGGAAAAATTTTTTATGGAAGTTCTGAGAATTTACATAATGCACTGATGCATCCCAATGTGCTGGATGTAGGGTGGGCTAGCTGCTTGAATAACTTTGGCCAAAGAATCATGCAATTACAGTACTAGTTCATATTCTACTGCCATTGTACAAGGTTGATTCCTCACTCACTGTTGTTTTTTCAAACAAGTTATGCTGTGCAGTACTGTACATTACTGTACCAGGACACAATCAGCCAAGAATACAGTGTTAAAGCAGTGATAAGATATAAAAAGTGATGACAGTTATGTGTACTGTAATGTACATTCAGCAGAGAGGAAAGTGTATGTCTACTGTAGGCTAGTGTAAATGTGTATGTGTAGTATACAGGGCATGAACAATCCCTAGTTCATGGTGGGAGAAGAGTAACAGTAACATCTGTTGCAGTAGATGTTACAGGACAAAGGCAAGCCATCCTGTATCATCATATCACCATTTGGCCTGCCTGCATCATATCACAAACTCAAGACAACAGCATCTGCTGGTAAGTACAGTATATACAGTACATTATAGTAGTATCCATTATTTTATTTATATGCAAAATATTGTATGTGTACAAAGGCATTTGTGTAAATAAATACAGTTCTGTGTCTGTCCGTGTGAGATGTGTAGTTTAGACTCCCATAGTTTGGATTCTTGGAAAGCTTACCCCAGTACCCAAAAAAATTCAGGGGATGAGAAAATTGTCAAAATATCTGGAATCTCTCATTCCTGGAAGAGCTCTGCACCAATTATTCTGGCTAATGGAGATATCACTATCAGTATACTGAATCTATAAGTCTTAATAAATAATACATTGATCAGACTCACCCATTGCATGCTTGACAAACTTATGACATATAGGCTGGAAGTCTGTTGATGAAGCAGGAAACGTTGAGGCAAAGAAGAGTTCTCCCTGCTGGGCTGCATCAAGACTAGTGACCAGAGATGCAAGGGACCCTGGGATAGTTGGGTCGGCTGGTCGCACATTGGAGAGGTTGAGTCGCGACGCCTGAATGTGCATAGCATGTGGACGGTCTCGCTGGTTACTGTGTTCACCCACTCCATCAATGATTACCTGAGACAATGAAAGGAAAGCATCCTAAAAATACAGCTTTCTTTTATCATACAAAATCTCTGTCCAGTAACAATATTATCTTTCCCTGTTCAGTACCTATTGTATGGAAGGGCTTAGAACTAATAATTAACTAGTCACTTAGTAGAAGTTACAAGTGCTGACAGGTGTCATCTTGTAGACTTTAGCTAGTACAGTACAGGGGCCGCATACTCAAAAGCATTTACGGGACTGCATCTCTTTGTTTACCCCGTAACTGGACTTACAGACTCCGATCAGTATACTCAAAACAAATATTTGGCAGCGTACTCCGTAAGTGAGCCTATATTTGAGACCGTAACTTACAGGACCTCCTTAGGTGCTGTAAGACGCTCAACCCAGATATAGTAGTAGCGATTTCATGATAGCATAACAAAAATTAATAATACAGTCATGCGCCGGTTAACGTCCTAGATACGTTCTTGGAATCGTGACGTTAACCGAAATGGACGTTGTCAAATCATCACAAACTTTTTATTTACACTTATGTGTATGTGGAATACTATATACGTACATATACACTTTTACTGTTAAATCACTACTGTAATGTGATACAGGTGATTAATTTTTATCTCTTGTGCAAAATACATGACGTTTATATTAAAATTATTCACTGTTTTACAAGGATTCCAGCAACGCCAAGCAGATGGGGGAGAGGGTGGGAGCTAGCGAGGGGGCGTGGGGGGAGGGGAGGTAGTACGTTTGACAGTTGGCACAGGCCCAAGTCTAACGTGTGTATATTTATCAGTTCTTAGGTAACTAAGCTTCTCTCTTATAAAAAGCCAGTGAAATGACCTGGGTGAATATAATTAACATAGCTGGGATTCTTGTAACATACTGATTAATTTGAATAAAAACATGCTATAATTTGCACTAGACAAAACAATTTTAGTACCGTAATCAAATTAGTACATGTGCACTCCAGCTTTGCACTAAGAAATCTATGTAAATCTACCCAAAAATACAGTTGAAAAACTTTTTTATAAAATGTACTACAGTACTGTACACTAATGTACAACAATTTTTATCTCTTGAGCAAAATATATGACGTTTATATTCAAATTATTGGCTGTCTTGCAAGGATTCCAGCAATGCAAATTATAATCTCCTAACTTTAGTCTGAGATATTATATAAGATAAAAACTGTAAGCCTAAAAGCCTGGCTGGGGGGAGGGACTGATGGCTCCGCCACCCAGCGAGGGGTTGGGGGGGTTGAGGTGATAAGTTTGAGGTGAAGGTCTCTGTGTGTTTATTTAACAGTCCTACTAAGCTTCTTTCCTTTTAAAATGCCAGTGATATGACCTAGGAAAATATAATTAACATAGCTGGGATTCTTGTAAGATACTGATTTATTTGAATATAAACATGTTGTAATTCGCACTAGACATAACAATTTTAGTACCGTAATCAAATTAGTACATGTGCACTCCAGCTTTGCACTAAGATCATTTATTTCTTTTACGTTTCTTTTAGTATGGTGTGTGCATGTAAATGGGTGAAAATAAATGAAGAAATTTGTGTAAATCTACCCAAAAATACAGTAAATTTTTTTTTATAAAATGTACTACAGTATTATACACTAATGTACTACATTTTTTATATCTTGAGCAAAATATATGACGCTTATATTCAAATTAATCTCTGTCTTGCAAGGATTTCAGCAATGCAAATTATATTATCCTAACTTTAGTCTGAGATATTATATAAAATAAACATAAAGAAATCACCAATCTTTTATCTTGAACACGAGGGGGGGGGAGAAGGGGGCGGGAGGTGAGGTGATAGAATGTCTGGCATTTGTTTGTTTATTTATTTATTTGAGATAAGATTTGACAGTTGGCGCTGAAGGCCTGCCTGGTGTTTATTTATCATTACTTAAGAGTGACTAAGCTCTTCTTATAATTTTCCACTCAAACGACCTGGGTGAATATTACTTACATTGGAGGGATTCTTGTAAGATAGTAATTTATTTGAATGTTTTTTTTTTCAATTTAAATTTTAATTGTTTATTCCTTGATGGAGGAAGCGGGATCCTAGTGCTGTCACTTGGTACCCCTGTACCGTAACACCAGAAGCAACTGGCTAGTGTCACAAGTATATACAGTCATCCCTTGGTTATCTCGCCTAATTGGGACCCCACCGATAACGAAAGTACAGAACCAATGGGATATATTCTAATTGGTTCCAGGCACCCAAGACCCAACCCCAAGTTTCCATTTTACGACCATTTATACCCACTAAATATATATATAATGTTATGGTAAATATCATAAACACACATAGGCATGGCTAGGTTTATTACAAAGTGACGAAAAGGGTACGCTTAATACTGTAGTCCACAAAACATGTAGCTATGCTTTTTTTATTTGGTCCCCCGTCATATGAGTCCGTTTTCTCTCACATCAGGACGCCCGAGTCCTCCGTTTTCTCTCCTAATCTTAGAGTGCACCAGAAACTTTACTATTTTTAGTAATGCCACAGAATTTGAAATTGCAACCCCAATTGCAACTGGGGTTGCAATTGTTGAGGCAATTAGATATGTCTGATTACAGCAAATGTGTTACAGTGGTCCCTCGGTTAACGAGCACAATCCGTTCCAGCATGTTGCTCGTTAACCGAAAAACTCGTTAACCGAAACCATTGTTTCAATTGGTTTTTGGGTAATTCGTTCCAGCTCACAGAAAATTGCCTAAAATCAACAAAAAATGTAGAAAAGCACACTTACTTTGAGGTGTGTATGTAGAAGGCTCTTGGATGATGATGACGGGAATTAGAATGGGGATGGAGGAGAAGAGAGAAGAGAAGGCATTGGGGTGGAAGAGAAGTCACCCCATGGCACCATTTCACCCATAAAATTTTAGTTCTCTTGGTGTAATTCAAGATTATTTTCTTTAAATCAACACTGCACTGCATTATATATTGTCAATATGTAAAATAAATTTCAAAATGACCAATAATTTGCTTGGAAACACAGAAAAAAAGCATTTAGTTGAAGAGAGTCTCAAGCAATATGTTACCTCCACTGAAAAGAGAGAGAGACTAACGCCCGTTTGTGTGTTAATAGGCTGGATGGCGAGCCAGAAACTAGTTTCTTTACCTTCAATTATGTTCAATAATTGTTAAAATGACTAAAAAATATTAATATTAAACTTTTAAAATTATTGAACAGCATAAACTTCTTGATATTTACTAAAATAGTAAGGAATTTAAGCCCTAAAACCGATTACTGTATTGGCGGACTAATACTACAGCTGGTGGACCGCCAAATGCAAGCGAAAACATGTTGAGGTCGGCTTGTAAAAAACTCGTTAATCGTGGGATTGCTCGTTTACCGAAGTTAAGAATCTTATGGAAGGTAATTCGTTAACCGAAATCTCGTTAACCGAGGTGCTCGTTAACCGAAGAATCACTGTACTGTATTGTCAATTTGTAGGTGAAAGATTTTATCCTCAATAGATGTAGGTTAACATTTCGCCTGTAGGCAAATGCTTAAAAAAGTCTAAGTAAGGAAGCATATTCCTTTAACACATAATATCTGACCAGTATGAGGAGGATTATCATGTCTCCGTCAGGGGGTCGTGGAGTGGTGGTCCAGCAGGTGTCACTTTTGGGGGGGCGGCGGCACGGACGTATATGCGATTGGACGTTGTTTGGTCGGACGTTTACCGGCGCATGACTGAATATGTTGTAATAATGCTTATTAGACTTGTTTCATCATAGAATAATGAAGAAAATGTTTTGTACACCAACTTACTAAAATACGATATTACAGTTAGACTTTCTAGCTCTTTTTTTTTTTTGACGATAAGAAGAGGCTTGAGTGTTTCTATTTGTCGTGGAATGGAAGAGACGAAGCTTTTGTCTTCCTACAACTTTTCAAGTAATTTGTACCAAAATTTTTATTGTCCACATTTATGGTACAAATATTTTTTGACTGAGTAAACTTGCAGATAAAACTTATTAATGTACCCAAGACTCATAGTTAAATAATACCTAACCCAATCTAAGTTTGTCAAATCTAATAAAGAAGAGGGGTAAAAATTTACAGTGGTATAGCATTTTTTTTCGTAGAAAAAGAATTACCGGTATGTTCATAGATTTTTTATCCGATACATTCAGTAGTGATTTTTTCCGCTGCAAAATTAGTGAAATTTATCTTACCCTAACAAAACCTAACCTTACCTAATCTTACCTTACCTTATCTAACCTAACCTAACATTACCCTACCTACCCTAAGAAAGCTGCAATGCAAATGACAAACAATTAAGTTCTCTAGAAAATTTTCAATCTTTTTAAAAAATACATTTACAGAGACAACAAACTTTTTCTAATAATTTCTCCAATATATAAAGGTTAGGTTAGGCGGTTAATATATAGGACTAACCCACAAATGAGTTATTTGTATTACTGTTCTCATATGGTAATCTTTTCTTGTGCAAAAATCTCGATTTGTAGATATTTAGACACCTAGGCACCCACTAATTTGTTTTCCAAGCAGTAATGAGTCTGCGCTCTGCTACGGCGCTTTTCCCCGGGCTCGCGGCAGTTTCAGTTTCAGCATGATGCATGGAGGTTGTCGCCGGTCTTATATAACACTTAAAAGATCTACTCGCCAGAGTAGTGGACATGGTGTAAGGTGTATTGTATAATACAGAGGAGTTGCATAGACAGAGGTAGGTAGAGGCATTGCTGTCATTTAGAATTGTTTGAGTATCTGCAATAGCTGTTCTGATGCCACATTACTGATAGCCAAAACACTTCTCAGGCTGAATAGTGATAATGAGGAAGGCCATGCTGGTGATATGGAACCTTCAATACATGTAGATCTTGAATGAGTGGAAGCTTAAAGTTTTCAATTTTTAACCGAGTGAATTGTTTTATTTGCTCATGAATAACATTTTCATAGTGATTAACAATTTCTGAAGCTCTTCTTTGTTTTTCTTTATATCAGAAACAGTTTGCTTTGCAATACCGAATTCATCAACAATCAAAGACACTGATTAAGTTGCCTCTAATCTCTCAATTATCTTTAGTTTATCATGAACACTTAATTTTAAGCTAACATGCATTCTTTCCTGCATTTTTCTCAGATGCCATTATAACAGCTTTAAAAAGTAATTTTGGGGAACTAGAAATGAATTTTGGTAACACTGCAACAAGTATTGTAAAATGCACAGTCATTGCTTTGAGACTGAGGAGAGTGGGGTTGGAAAAACACATAGTGTCTGGACAGTCTCCGGACCGAGCACATTCTGTGCAGATTAACCAAAATCCTGATAAAAGAGGTCCGAATTATTGAGGGTCTACTGTAATCTTGAGTTGTATAATAAAAAAAAATTATTTTAAGACAGAATGGCTAGAGTAACAAAGCTTATAAGAAAACTTTAAATATCCTTTCAAATTTTACAAAGAACCAGCTTGAAAGACTTACTCTGGGCATGATGGCCTCTAAGTATACGTCGAGGTAAGAACTGGGCGATGGCTCGGTAACAATGGCACGTTGGAGGCTTTGGGCAAAGGAGTTGAGCCAGAGGATGGAGAGTGGGTCAAAAGTTACCTGTACTGGGTTCAGCTGCAGGAATAACTTTGGAGGTGGCACTGAAAAAATAAAAAGTCTATATTAAAAATAAATCCTGTAATGTATACTGAAAGTGCATATTTCTCCTTATTCTTATTATTATCATTATTAATACAGTACTTTATATTCTGTTTTACTTAAAAAATTAGAGTACAAGTTTCAAGATGGATGTGTAAAGACCTAAAGTGAACAAAATACAGTCGCAGTCAAAAGTAACCATCCATTCCTCCTACCACCACACCCACAAGGTATTTATATACGATGGGTCACAAAAGGGTAGGGGGGGGTATTGATGGGGGAAGAGCTGGGGGGGGGGGTATTGATGGGGGGAGAGCTAGGGGTGGTGGACCTGAGTACTGAGTAAGGTAGGAGGGCACAAGAAAACTCCAGGAGGTTATAGAAAAGGGAGGACCTTGGATGGGCTATTGAGATTCTGCATGATCTGTGTTGGTAAATATTAAAAATAAATTATATGGCCATTCTCATATTCAATATTTCTCCTCATATCAGTGTTATTGTGAATATCAAATTACCATTGTTTAAAACCTGAACCACAACCTGAAAAAATTATAAATTAGAGAATGGATAGCACATTATAAAACTCATAAAATATGGGTCCTCATCTATTACTCTTTCAAGCATGTAAACCTAATACTGTAGTGTAAATTGAAAAGAAAAAACTACATCCATCCTTCTTTCATCAATTGCCCTGCTTTCTTCAATCCCTGTCCCCTTTCTGATGAGCCCTCTCTCGTGTCAACCATTCCCAATCTCCACTCCACATGACTTGCCAAGCAGAAAGGACCTGGCCAGGCACAGGTGTTGGAGGTGGAGTGGATGAATACTTTTAACTGAGACTGTACATATAGAACAAGTCCCAGAATATAGGTGTTAATTCCTCATAATAATTGATGAATAAATCCAGAAATCCCAATTTATAATTAAGACTATGTTAAGCAATGAATGAACAAAGATTTCTTCATTAAAATAGCAGTAAAGATGAACCGTATAATAAGTTACACGTTCCTGTCACAATTACTGTACAACCAAAAACAGGTTCTCTTACTAAGAGTTACCATTAAACTCTTTAACTGTGATTTTAAATACTGTACAGTACAGATGTCTAACATCATCTATCAAAGACTGAGTCTACAGACATATGAATATTAATTTTTGAACAGCTCCCTAAACTATATATTTTTAACAACAAGGCTAATTCTCAACTTAGCTACCCCACCCATACATACAGGGGGTGACTGTTGGACTCCACCCATACATACAGAGGGTGACTGTTGGACTCCACCCATACATACAGAGGGTGACTGTTGGACTCCACCCATACATACAGAGGGTGACTGTTGGACCCCACCCATACATACAGGGGGTGACTGTTGGACTCCACCCATACATACAGAGGGGTGACTGTTGGACCCCACCCATACATACAGGGGTGACTAATGGACTCCACCCATACATACAGAGGTGACTGTTGGACCCCCACCCATACATACAAGGGGGTGACTAATGGACTCCACCCATACATACAGGCGGTGACTGTTGGACCCACCCACATACATACAGGGGGTGACTAATGGACTCCACCCATACATACAGAGGGTGACTAATGGACTCCACCCATACAGCAGGGGGGTGACTAATGGACTCCACCCATATACATACAGAGTGACTAATGGACCACCCATACATACAGGGTGACTGTTGGACCCCCACCCATACATACAGGGGGTGACTAATGGACTCCACCCATACATACAGGGGTGACTAATGGACTCCACCCATACATACAGAGGTGACAGTGAAGCCACCCTTACATACAGAGGCGACTGTTGGACCCCACCCATACATACAGGGGGTGACTAATGGACTCCACCCATACATACAGGGGTGACTAATGGACTCCACCCAAACATACAGAGGGTGACTGTTGGACCCCACCCATACATACAGAGGGTGACCATGGACCCCATCCATACATACAGAGGGTGGCTGTTGGACTCACACATACATACAGAGGGTGGCTATTGGGGCTCACACACACATACATACAGGGGTAACCTGTTGGACCCCCACACATACATACAGGGGGTGACAAATGGACTCCACCCATACATACAGGGGGTGACTAATGAATCCACCCCATACATACAGAGGGTGACTGTTGGACCCCACCCCTTCACATACCAGAGGGTGACTGTTGGACCCCCACCCATACACATACAGGGGGGCAAATGGACTCCATACATACATACTGGACTCCACCCATACATACAGAGGGTGACTGTTGGACCCCACCCATACATACAGGGGGTGACTAATGGACTCCACCCATACATACAGAGGGTGACAAACGGACCCCATCCATACATACAGAGGGTGGCTGTTGGACTCCACACATACATACAGAGGGTGACTGTTGGACCCCACACATACATACAGGGGGTGACTGGTGGACCCCACCCATGCATACATGGCTTATGGACCCCACCTATACATAAAGGGTGTGACTGTTTTGGACCCCACCCATACATACAGGAGGTGGCATATGGAACCCACCCATACTTACAGGGGGTGACTATTGGATCCCACCCATACATACAGGGTGTGGCTTATGGACCCCACCTACACATAAAGGGGGTGACTGTTGGACCCCACCAAGCCACAGTGAACTTAATTCTCTTATGCAGGACTTCCTAATCTCACAACTTCAATTACAATGACTGGTTATATTTTGTTGTTTAATAAATATAACAAGAGTTCCTGACTGAAGTCCCTGAAAATCTATTCAATTGGGAAAAAACCTTAAAGATCCCTGTTGTTTTACACAAGCCAATGTGTCTTTGAATGAAAAATGCATGAAAGGTTGCATGTAATTTCCTGTGCTGGGGTTCATCCTGTAGCCTGAGTTATTTACATAAAGTGGGCTGCCAATACACTACAATTTTTTTTTTTTTTTATAAAGCTATCAAATTCTGATGCAATTTAGGAGGTAACATTAAGAAAACAAAATTGTGAAATGTGTGTTGCTTTGCATGCCCAGACAGAACACAGAGTAGACTTAGATATAACAAAATACTGTACGCCTATAACTGACCTGGAAATTCAGAGTCTGCCGGGAAGTAATAGGAGGTAAATTCCAGGTGGAGGCTGGACATCTGTGTCGGTAGTTTGAAACGATCTTTGTCCCCTAGAAGAGTTCACCAGTTTTTGTAAAGTTTGTACACTATAACAATACTCCAAATTTGTATATGAAAAAAATATATATATATGTATTAAAATGTTTTATTGTTGTCGTCACAGAAACTTAAAATTTTTTGTAAAAATTGTACAGCACCAAAATCATCCAGGTTTTACTACGAACAATTGATAACTGTCACACTGCATTTCACATTCCAGCACAAACAGTCTTTGACATATAAAAGCACACTCAACTATAGAACAAACTTCCCTCTTCTGCGACATTTACTGTACAGGGTACAGCTCCTCCCCGACTTACGACGGGGTTAGGGACCCAAATCCAGGTCGTAAGTCGAAATGGTCTTAAGTCGAAAATGCTTGAATAATGCATAGAAAATCTAAAATTGGTGTCTCTTTTTCTTCTCAGCACCACAAAACTCTCACTTTTAAGCTTGCCAGCCATTTTAAAGTGAATTACAAATGAAAATTTTGTCTGTGTACTGACGCTGGGACTCGAAAATACGTAATTTAACAAAATTTTGGTACGACTGAGGCAGGTATAAGTGCGGGTGGTCGTAAGTCGAGTAGATTGTAAGTCGGGGAGGAGCTGCATATGTATACCACAGTAAAGATGACAGTGACACTCCACTGTTTACAACACACTGTACACCTCACACCACTGCACCTTACTCCTGATTTACAAGTGATATATACCATCATTATAACACAAGTGCATCATCACAAAAATTATTGAAAATTTATCTGACTAATGTAGAGTGAAAGTGGATGGTGGTACCTCTAGCCTGGTACCAGGTTGACAATCCCTTATCCGAAATCATTGGGGCCAGATGCATTTCGGATTTCGGAATTTTTCGGATTTCAGAATGGTTAGGTTAGTTTTTTTTTTTTTCAGGGATCAGCCCACTCAGGCACAGGTCACTGACCCACATTGGGACCTGGAGGGCTAAAATATAATAACAATTATAATAATAGTAATAATAATAATAATTCATAGGTCTAGGTCGTGTTTCTCACTTTTGATCTTTTTTTCATTCTTGTATTTCTTTATTATAATTATTATTATTGTTATTATTATGATTATTATTATTATTTTATTATTACAGTATTATTGTTATTATTATTATTATTATTTTATTATTATTGTTATTATTTTATTTTTGTTTATTTTTTATTATAAATTTTATTTACTATGAATAATTATTACTGTATTACATTTTCGCCCCCAGGCCCCGATGTGGGTCAATGACCTGTGCCCGGGGGCTAATCCATGTAAAAAAAAAAAAAAAATTAAATAAATAAAAATTTGCTCCATGAAAAAACTTTCGGTTTTCAGAGGTTTTCGGAATTTCGGATTAAGGGATTGTCAACCTGTAGTAGTAATGAAAATGGGCTCAACTCCTACTTTTCACACAGATAAGCAATGCTCTCACCCACCTTCACTTCCCTAACTGTAAAGCTTAGCAAATATTCTCAAGTGCTTAACTAGACAGCCCCACTCTGTGGGCGGCTGCCCAATTTCAAACAATTCAATACATCTTCTTGCAAGCAAACTGTCATGCTTCATACCAGTCTTTCTTCTTAATGCACATACACCTCATAAACTTTTCATAATGAGACTAAATCTGCATCACAGATTTAATATTGACAGTGGTCCAAGGACTGAGGACTGTTAAATGTTAAAAGGGTTCAATAAATCCTACCTATCTCAACACTGCAGACATGCAATATAACACACCTTAAACCACCTTAAACATCAAATAAAACATATTACAATCACAATTATAGAAGTAATTAATTAATAGTAAAATGATGACAATAAATTGAAGGTAAAATAAATCTCAAGTGTTAAAAACAGTGCACAATAAAATACAGGTTGACAACCCTTTATCGGAAATTCCAAAAACCGAAAAGCTCTGAAAACCGAAAGTTTTTTGTGGAGCATTTTTTTTTTTTTTTTTTTAACAGGGATTAGCCCACCCAGGCATAAATCACTGACCCACATCGGGGCCTGGGGGGCGAAAATATAATAGTAATACTAATTGTAATAATAATAATAATTATTCATAGTAAATAAAAATTTTAATAAATAATACACCAAAATGAAATAATAATACTGTACGTAATAACAATAATACTGTATTAATAAAATAATAATAATAATAAAGAAATACAAGAATGAAGAGAGATAAAAAGTGAGAAACACGACCTAGACCTATGAATTATTATTATTATTATTATTATATTTTCGACTTCCAGGCCCCACTGTGGGTCAGTGACTTGTGCCCAGGTGGTATAATGAAAAAAATAAAAATTTCCGAAATCCGAAATGCCCCAAGGATTTCGGATAAGGGATTGTCAACCTGTACAGTGATCCCTCAGTTAACGAGCGCCTCGGTTAACAGAATTTCGGTTAACGAATTACTTTCCATAAGATTCTTAACTTCGGTTAACGAGCAATCCCTCGATTAACGAATTCCTTACGAGCGCCCCTCAACATGTTTTCGCTTGCTCACTAGCTGTAGTATTAGTCCGCCAATACAGTAACCGGTTCTAGTGCTTAAATTCCTTACTATTTTAGTAAATATCAAGAAGTTTGTACTATTCAATACTGTAATTTTAAAAGTCTTATATTAAATTTTTTAGTCATTTTAACAATTATTTAACATAATTGAAGTACAGGGAAACTAGTTTAAAGCGCTCCAAACAGCCTGTCAACGCTCCAAACAGGCGTCAGTCTCTGTGTCTTTTCAGTGGAGGTGACATCTTGCTTCAGACTCTCTTCAACATAAACTAATTTTTCCGTTTTTACAGTGAATTATTGGACATTTTGAAATTTATTTTACATATTGATGATATATAGCGCAGTACAGTGTTGATTTAAAGAAAATATTATTTATTTACAGCAATTAATCTTAAAATTTTAGTGGTGAAATTGTTATTGAATCCAGAATGGGTCCAAAGAAATCTAGAAAGACAATTTCAATCCAGGTGAAACAGGAAATTATTAAGAAACATGAAGAAGGCATTAGAACAAATGTGCTTAACAAAGAATATGGCATGTCAGCATCAACTGTGTCGACAATTCTTTCACAGAAAGACAAATTCAAGTAAGTGAAAGTGAGAGCCAAATCTATCAGAGTGTTTAAAGGTAGATCCCTAAAAGCAGAAACAGAGAGGTTACCGGTACTTCTCATTTGGATTAGGAAAAAACAGATGAAAGGTGATTCAGTTTCGACCGAATTTATTTGTGAAAGAGCCAGGGAGATTTACGAAAATTTAAAGGCAGATCAACCTAGTTCTTCAGGCACAGAGTTTGAAGAGTTTAGGGCCAGCAGGGGCTGGTTCAAAAAATTTAAGAAGAGAAGTGACATTTTTAGTGTTGTTAGGCATGGTGAGGCTGCCAGCGCTGATAAAGAAGGGGCCGCAAAATTTTTAGTGGAATTTAAAGAACTGATGGATGAAGAAAATCATCTTCCACAGCAAGTGTTCAATGTGGACGAAACTGGGCTGTTCTGGAAAAAGATGCCCAAAAGAACATTCATCACCAGAGATGAAGCCTCTTTACCTGGGCATAAACCCATGAAAGACCGTCTCACTGTATTGCTTGGTACCAGTGCTTCAGGGGATTTCCAACTGAAGCCTATGCTTGTAACCCCAGGGTGTTCAAGCAACAAAAAGTGGTAAGAGGACGGCTTGGAGTTTATTGGAAGTCCAACCGTAAGGCATGGGTGACAAGACAGCTCTTTAATGAATGGGCAGTTGAGGTGTTTTGCCCTTCTGTGAAAAGCTACCTAACCACCAATAAACTCCCTTTAAAGGCTCTTCCCCTTATGGATAATGTCCCTGGTCATGACCCTCAACTTCCCAGCACTTTGGGAGTCTCAATTTGACTTTGTCAAAGTGTTGTTTTTGCCTCCCAACACTACATCAATCATACAGCCAATGGACCAGAATGTGATCAGCAACTTAAAGAAGCTGTACATGAAGAAAATGTTCAGGAGGTGTCATCAGGCAACTTCCACTGATCCTGAACTAACACTGGCACAGTTCTAGAACACACAATTTAACATCTTGGAGGCTGTAAAATTGATTGTGTCCTCATAGCAAGAAGTCTCCACTAGATCCCTCAATTTTTCATGGAAAGCACTGTGGCCATCAGTAGTCCATGATTTTGAGGGATTTGAGGAAGAAACAGAGTTGGACCAGGAGATTATGTCCATTGGTCAGTCATAGGGCCTTGAAGTGGAGGAGGATGATGTAGAAGAGCTTGTGATGTCTCATGAGCAGGAACTTACTCCTGAAGACTTGCAGCAACTGGATGAGATGTTAGAGGCTGACATTGGTGAGGAGGAAAAGGAAAGTGATGACCATATGTCAACTTCAGATTTGAAAGATGTTGTTCATTACTGGGAGAAGTTCAGGAAACTGGCTTCAAGGCACCCTAATGTGGAAAAAGCAGAACTTGCCTTGTGTAATGTTGAGGACACAGTGGTCTCCTCCTTCAAACATCAGTTAATGATGAGGAGGAGAGATGCCCCACAAACCAGAATTGAGTTTCTTGACTAAAAGGCAGCGGGAAACAGATGCTAACCCTCAGCCTTCCACTTCAAGAAGGAGAGAGGATGTTCCTGGTGGAGAATCTGTCAATCCAGAGGTTCCTGACATTTTCATGGAAGGTGACTCACCTTCCAAGAAGCAGTAAAATGCTTCTCCTCCACCTCCACTTCCTTTTCTTCTCCCTTCTCCTCCTCCACCTCCCACTTCAAATTCACATCATCATCATCATCATCCAGGAGCCTTCTACATACACACCTCAAAGTAAGTGTACTTTATTACCTTTTTTGTTGACTTCAGGCAATTTTCGGTGAGCTGGAACCAATTACCCAAAAACCCATTAAAACAATGGTTTATATATATGCATGTATGCAAGTAAATCACTATGGGTGCAAGTGATCCAGGTATATGCTGATAACCACAAGGAAAGAAGAA